TATGAATCTATTACATCTGATGTTACAAGATATGGAGATTATAATGGTAAAATAAGGGAACAACAGATGACAATATCCATACAAGCAGAACATAACAGTAAATCATATCAATGTCAATCCAGTCACCCAGACGTTACTGGTCACGTGATGTCTACTGTCATTCATCTTATAGTGTATTGTAAGTACTATATATTTGTTTATATTGTGGTATTTGCAGTAAGGATTAGATTCACCCTTAAGTTATTTTTAGATTAAGGATAATCAATAGAGTTGAAATTCTTTACAATATTTTTATATTTTGAGAATGATTGCTTATAGGTCATTTTAGGGGATAGAGCGTGATTTGGATCACTGACCAAATTTAAATACATGTGGAATTACTTTATGCAGAATTAACTAGAACATTACTGTGAACTATATTTAGAAAAATAGAATTGTAGTTGTACGGTCCTATTTGAAAAGACAAAAAAGCAGTTTGCCACGTACTAATGCATGTGCAATAAAATACATTCATTAGATGAGAACTATTACATGTCCAGTTAGAACCCATCCTCATTTATCACACAGAACACAAACAAATTAACATTGTTATTATTTTATGTAAATATAATTTTTTTAATATGGTAGATATTATCGATACATGAATTAAATAAATAAAGAGCAATTATCATTGAAACCATAATACTCGTAAGCAATAGGTGTGTTTTGATGTTTATCATTTCTGAAAATTTACAGACTTTAATAAACTATTTGATTTGTACCAATTTAATGACTAATGAGTTTATAGACGGTATGCATAATTATTCTGCTCCAACTTGCAATGAAATCAATTGAAACCTTCTGTCCTGCCTTCCTGGTTGATATCCCGTGAATAATTTAGCATAAAAGACAACATAATATTGCATTGCACTTTTGAAGTTTTGTACTGGTGTAGTCTGTAGTCAACTTTGTGGGTCAGGTGCATATATTTGTGCAACGGTTGTGCTTTTATGACATTCTACAACTCTGTAACTTCCTGAAGTATACACATTGTCACAGTGTAAGGCCTGCTTATCGCAATTGAGAGAGCCACCCACAGAACCCAGACTGGACAGGGATTCTTTACTGCTAGTATGGGGTATACAGGACAATAGTACTGGAAATGAAATACAAATACACCAAAATATTGAGTTAAAGCTCCTGGCTTTAATACCTCTCAAAATAATTACATTAAATAAAGCACAGAAAATACAATGAATAAAGTCACTAAAATAGGGGATTGCTTTGGGAAGTGTGCATCGGTGATAACTCACAGTTCCAGAATGTATCAATGGACAAAAGTCAATGGCTTCTGCAATACAAGAACGAAGAAATACAGGAGTCTTGCTTACAGAGAAATGCTGGTATTCTGGAGGGCACCGCAGAAAGCAGGAGATCGCAGATCAGTTCATACAAGTCTCACAGAATGATGGTTGTAACCTGTAATATCGTATCGTAGCAGAACACACAGGAAACCAAGTTGAAATTATGGATGACAAACTGTCCAATTTATAGGCAGGGACACCACCTGGGTTTCCACATGAGCCAATCACAATGTAATGTTTCTAGCAGCTGTGTCACGTAGACAACTCAGTAGACCATAAACAACCATTGTTATTCAAATAACAGCACACCTGGTAGCTTCTAATTCTCCTTCCAAAGTTGTAAACACTTTTGTTATGTAAATTACAAGCACACCTAGTAGAACCCACTGTCCATATTTATGACAGTTATCACAATACACACCGTTTCTTCCCATGATTCCATGCACACTTCCATTTGCAGGGTTTGGGGTACTATGACAAAACATGAAATAAAGGATGCTGATACACATATCAATAAATACCCATACTTAAAAATAAAAAGTTTTTCAGCAATACATGGAGTTTATGTTGGCGTATTGAACAAGTAATTCATGGGTTTCTATTGTAAAGTTGTTCTGTTAAAGTATTGTCTCATGTCGGAATTTGGCTGAATCAAGGTTAAACAAAAATGGCGAATTATTTGTGCATGGTTACATAAAAAACAAAATATATTGATTAATTGTAAAACTTTTTTAACTTGTTAAATAGTGCACCTCAGCATTACATTGTGCTTTGAAAAGTTGAACTTTGAATTTTTCAAGATGAACAGTAATGACAACAAACACAAGCTTATCTTGAAACCTTTCTTATCTTTGTGATAAATAAATTTCCAAGATTGTTGAACCAAAATGAGCCTAAAATGTCAGCAATATCATTTTTAAACTTACTTAATAATTGTGGTTAAAAAATGCATTTCATTCTTAAAATATATTTCTCATTATAATCTATCTATAATTATCACAATGAATTGTAGGAAGCATGCCTCCATCTTTGCATCAGATTAAAAATTTGTACTGATTCATTTCTAACATTATTAACTGGTAAGTTTATGACTGATCGTATCTATATTTAAGAATCACATACTTGTTGAACTATACGTTTATACTGCATTGTATTTGACTAGTTGTTTGAAATACAGAATAAAATTGTTTACAGGATTGTAAACTAGAATGAATATAGACACAATTAAAAGCTAACAAAATAGATTTCAAATATAATGCTTCTCAAAAGTAAAAACGATTTAATTTTTGACTCCCGTGTGTGAAGCACAAAAGGGAGTCTTTGCAGCTACCCTGTCTGTCTGTATGTATGTATGTCACTTTTTTGGTTCCACCGTTATCTCAAGAACCAATAATCAAATTTTGATGAAA